AAAGAGGAATGGAAAAGAAGAGATCTCTGAGAATAAGGAATACCTGTAAAGTGTATTGTTTGTCTTGCAATATTTTCCCATTATTTATATATATTTATATATATATATATATATATATATATATATTCACATATACACATATGCACATACACACACCAATGCAAGGCTACGGATAGAGTTTTCTGTGGAAAGATTTTGCTTTGGAGATAAACAGTGGGATTTGGGACCATAGTGTCTTTCTTGTGAATCAATAACAAGGGGTGGGTGAATGCAGTAGTGGGTTTCAATTTATTTTATTACCAGTTTGCTCATGTGTGCACTATGCGTGATGCTTTTGTGCATGCACAGAAGAGTCCAGGTGGGTGGGTGGAGCCTCCCGCCGCTGCCACTACCGGTTTACCTGATCCAGGGCAAACCAGCAGAAGTCTACCTCTGGGTGAATGGAAGGGACTTTATTGGTAGTCAATCTTTAGGGTACAAAAGAGTCCCAGCATTCACGATTACACTAGCAATATTCTGCAGCAAAATGCAGATAGTCCTCGACTTACAACAATTAATTTAGTGACCGTTCAAAGTTACAACTTCACTGGAAAAAGTGACTTTTGACCATTTTTCACACTTATGACCATTGCAGCATGCTGGTGGTCATGTGATTTACATTTGGATACTTGATAAGTATCCAAGATACTTGTGTATTTTTGACGATTACAATGTCCCGGCATCCTGTGATCTCCTTTTGTGTCCTTCTGAAAAGCAAAGTCAATAGGGAAACCAGATTCACTTATTAACCGTGTTACTAATTTAAGAACTGCAGTGATTCACTTAATAAACGGGGAAAGAAAAGTCATAAATGGACAAAACTCACTTAACAAATGTCTCACTTAGCAGCATAAATGTTGGCCCCATTGTGGTTGTTGGTTGAGGACTACCTGTAGTGCTGCATTTGGGATGTTGCATTTTTGTTATGATTACCCACCCATCCCCCCAAAAAGTGTGGCAATGAAAGAAAGCCAGTCTCACCTCTACCTTAATCCAAAACTGCATGAAATCAACTTACAGAGGAGCTTAGAAGGATGAAGTAAGAGAGGAGACACCTAGAGCACTCCTGGAAGAAAACTTGGAGAACACTTGACTGAACAAATGTAGAACTGCTATTTCTTATCAACAATTTTAACTTTGGTTTATTATGTGGCAGATGCTTGTCAGAGTGCCTTAGCTTCCTCATTTTCTATTACTTTTTCTGTTTTGTGGCTTTTTCTATTTATTTATTTTTTAACAAGAAGAAGCAAAATCAAAGCTGGTTTAGTTGTAGATCGGAATGCAGAGTTTTATTAAGCTTGATTACGGTCAATGATTTCTACTATTCAAATTCCCAGAAGTAGCAGATAGTGGAAATGAAGATAACAATGTGGTTTAAAAATATCTGAAAAGAAAATAAATATCTATTTGGTAAGATTAGTGGTCAATGACTTTCATGCTCAAAGCTCTTGATGAGTTGCTGGCATAGACTCTTATGGATCTCATTGACTTCTAATGACTTTCCTCCCTGTTCTTTCCCATCTTTGTTTTGATCTCATTCTCTTTTCTGCTTCTCAGCTAAAGCTTATAGCCCAGAATTTTACTATGATACCCCCAATCCTACAAGGAAGCAATCCAAGAACTACTCCTATGTCTTACAGTGGACACAGAAGGAACCTGATGCTGTCGATCCCATTCTTAGTTACCGCCTAGATGTCCGCCAGGTAAGAGCTATAATAGCAGCTGAAACACAGAAATTCAGCTACTGCTGAAGGCAATACGGTAGTTGCAGAGTTAAAACAAGAATGCTTTTGCCTTTATCTACCTAGATTAGAATTTGGTATTTGCAAAGCAGGTTAGAGCAGATGGCATGATGCTTCTGTCCTCATTTTATGTGGCTGAGAAATCTGTTATATTATTATTATTATATACCTCTTAATTATAAATTCTGGTGCATATGCATTAGAGAGCTAAGAAAGTCTGTTGATTCTGCTTGGAATTTTCAGGCTTTGTGTTTTCACTAAGGCTGTAACAAAAACAAAAATGTGTGTAGTCATTAGTAGTTTTTGTAGATTTCATAGGCCAACCATTTAGAAGGGTGGGAATTCAGATTCTTTCCTTTGACCCAACAAAGGGCTGTAAATTGAAGGGCACTCCAGGTTCAAACTGCCAAGAAAATCCATTGACTGTTCATGTTGTGCAAAGCCCTTCTCCAAGCTGTTATAATGATAATGGAACATTATTGCTACCTTTTGAAGAAACGTTTGAGACAAAAGAGTGCTTCAATACAGAATGAAACAGAATCATAAAGAGCACAACCAGGAAGAAGAAAATATTTGATATGCTAGATTGCTGAAATATATTCATAAGTGCACACAAAAGTGTGCATGAGTGTTTGTCTCTGTTTTCTCAGCAAAGACCTGTGAATCAGACATGCAATCAAATTCCAAAATTTCTCAGCTAATCTATTATTTAGTTAAACCCAGTTTATGAAATCACTTGGAGGGACTATATGCCAAAGGCAGCTCTGTCTATGTAGAATAAGCAAATAGGGAGAGGCAATATATTAAAAAAAAAAAAAGAATGAGACCACAGATTCTCTGCATTCTAAAATGTTCTTTTCCCTTGTTTTTCCTGATTGTTCTTATAAGTTCTGTTGTTCTGTTTCTCTTTTTGACACCCTCTCTACACAAAGAAAAGGGAGCTAGAAAAGGTTCAACCTGCATTTTGGAGGACTATTTTTTGAAAGATCTTACCTGGTGCTAGGCTGTGGGTGTGTACCCTGAGTTATGCTAAAGATGGTTCAGACCTGCTCACCTTAAAAGCCCCTGAGAAAGAGTAAATTCTATGAAATCAGTCTTAACTGCTGTGATGAGAGCCAGAGTCTATGCCTGTTTTTCCATTTGCATAATATTCCTTGATCCACCAAGGACTTTATTGATCAAAGAAGAAAGCAATATCCTCTGTTTTCTCATTCCCTTCCATAATTCCTGCATTCCACAATCTATTCTAAAGAATTGGCCTTGGTGGGGAGTTTATCTATTCCCCTATTCAGGGAAACATTCACTAGTTCATGGGCTTTCTATAACTAGAATGGTAGAATTATATATAGCAGAAAGATATGCAACATAATGGAATATAACTTTTTTTTTTCTCCAGCATCTAGATGTACGTTCCTCTGGTGATCCCTGGGTGGCAAAATATACTTTCTATCTGCCCATTATCTTTTGGGAAACATTAGTGTTCACAGCAAACTGCAAGAATGCCAAAATAATGACACTTTTTTTTTTATGATTTTTTATGATTTTATTTAACATTTATAGGCCGCCCTTTTCCCTGAGGGGACTCAGGGCGGCTTACAATAATGAGGGAAGGGGGGTGAAAGACAAAATACGACAAAAAGAAAAGTGAAATAACAAAAAATGCTAAAACGCAACATTCACTCAGCATTCGGGAGGGGCAAGAAAATTTATCCCCAGGCCTGACGGGCTAGCCAGGTCTTGAGGGCTGTGCGGAAGGCCTGGACTGTGGTCAGGGTACGGATCTCCACGGGCATATTGCATGGTCATGGAAATGATGGCAGTGGATACTTGCATTCTAGTATTGGACACAAATGTCTACGTCTTAGAATTTGTATGATGAGATCATCACTCGTGTTTTATTATTTGCTGCCATTGCATTTTCCTGTGGATGCCCATGTTGAGAAGGAGAAACGATATCATGTCTGATTACAGACTGTATTGTTGTTAAATAGTTATTGGAATGATTGCTACTTTTGAGGAATATATTTTAGCCATTTCATGGTTAAGACTATTTGTTATGCTTGGCAATTTTTGTTTTAGTTGCTGAAATTCTGAGATGATTCTCTGCTCAAAAAGTATTCCTTTTGGTTAGATAAATTGCTTCAGCCCATAGGAAAAAACTTTTGTGATTCCTTGTTCTTTTAAGCAACTATAGTTAAGAATGATGCTGACTAATTTCCATAAAAAACCAAACGTTTAATCTTATTATTGATCCAGCCAAAGATGAAACTAAAGATTAATGCCAACTAGTTAATGTTAGAATACTTTTCGCTTTCTAACATGTGTTATCCTGGAACCTTAAAAACATCAATGAAATAATTCCCAAATAATCTTCAGTTTATTTATGGGAGTTACTATGATTTATCCTTCACCATGCATTGAACTGTGTAGTCTGTGTAATTTTGTTCTTATCTAGCCTTTCTTCTGCCTAAACCAAAAGGATATAATCTGATTTTTTTAAATTTTAAATTAGGAAATTCATTCCTCTTAATTCATTTGTAGTTTATAAATCCTTATTTGGTAGAAAGCAATGGTTTTCAATGAAATGTTTGCTAGCTATGAAATTCATATAATTAATATTAGCTGTGTTAGGCTCTTTGAAATAATCTTTATGTACAATTCACATCTAGTGATACTTTTCATACTTACTCTGATATGACTATTAATTTTTAAGAACCTTCTGTTTAATTTCTTCAGTCTGTTTATTGTTTGTCATCAATCTGGGCTATTTAGGATCTGGTTTTAGACCAAACTGTAAACCTATAACATGAATCAGCAGAACATGAAGATTCAAAATAGCTATGAAACATTTTTCCAGCTGCTATATATAGGTATACTATGGTTGGGTAAATATGTCACCTTTGTTTTCTTCCAGCTTGTCATTTTCCTGACCACAAGCTTATTCTGGGCTTTTTCAACATCTGTTTCAAATGGATTCCCCCCCCAATCCTGTCCACACAATCACTCACCGTGCATTTTTCTCCACATTTCTCTTAACATCTACTATATGTACTTTTTCTAATCTGCAAATATCTCACAAGAAATTTTCTACCAATATAATCCATTCTTGCATGGGGAAAAAAACATTTATGTCTGTACATATAATACCTCATCAATGTATTTTATGAATATTTTTGTTGCACTCTGTATTTTGACAGGGATGTATCTTCTACCACAAGTTTATTTCAGAGGTATAAATTTGATAAGCATATGTACAAATTTCATATCCATCTATAAACAGCATAATAGAGCTGAAGCATGCATGAACAATACCAGTGTAGGCATATATAGTAGGACCTGGTATGTTCTATTGTAAAAATAATCAGTCCATTGAATAAGATGATGATGGTAAAGATTTAAGTCCCCCAATATGATTTCATAACACTGAATTTGAACTTTACAGTATGAAACTAATTCTATTCAGAGCTCTCTACACCATAATAGTCTTACAGCATCTTTTTATTGCCATTTTCTTCTTTATTAGGGATAATGCACTCTTCACTAAAGTGATGTGCAAAGATGAAGATTTTAAGGTTGATGCTTTTAAAGTTGCTAGGGCACATTGTGACAGGTAATAGGGTAGGCTGAGCTTGGAAGTAAAAGATTATTTACTTTCAATGTAGAGGACAGAACAATTTCAAAAGATTTGAGCACCTCTATTCTCTGGGTCAGACAGAATATCTTCTTTCATTCCGTTCTTTGTAGTGGCTCACTCTCTAGGGAACTGTCTGCTTCTGTATTACTTTCTCATACAGCGTAGAGCACATTGTCAGTGCTTAACAATTTTACCAACACAGTACACAAGGGAGCTTCTTATAATGAATGTGCTTCGTCTGAGAGCAGCCTTGCTGCTCGCTAAACTTTGCCACTGTAATTTCCAACTAACCATGTGCAAAGGTAGAGACAGATTTTGTCCTAAGTGGGACACTTGGATGTAAAACTTCAGATACATGATGTGTCATGCCTCACCTCGGATGTTGTTTAAAGGGACTCCAAATATGTGGCTTAGTAGGGTGAGGAGTGTTCCAAAATACCTTGGAATAATCTTTAATATTAATCAAATATGCCAGATTTCTAAAATAGCTATTTCCTTATTGGGACCTCACTTTTTGCTAGCTTTCACTTGACTTGGTCCCAAATTAATTGCACGACTATATCTCTTTGCAGATTCAGTCATGCCAGAAGAAGCATTATAGCAGATTTATCCCCATTTTGGGGACGTTAGAGGGGCCGAAGACCAAAAGTAATGTTTTTCCATTGTTGGACTGATTGTCTGGAATGGCCTCCCATTGGAAATTTGCTTAGTTTTAACCTTGTTCACTTTCCAAAAGAAGTTGAAGATAGAAGGATATCGCAAGGGTATTTGGAGCATGATACCACTTAATTGTTGGTAATATAGTTAAGTATCTTAGATTAAGTGCCTTCGCTTTCTTATTATTATAATACAGTTTATGTGTTTTAAACTGTTGAGTGTCTGTTTGGATTGCCAGATGGATGGAAGGAAGGAAGGAAGGAAGGAAGGAAGGAAGGAAGGAAGGAAGGAAGGAAGGAAGGAAGGAAGGAAGGAGTTCTCTACCAAGTGTGTTTAGGATTAAAGCCTTCATTATTTGCAAAACTATATTTCTAATAATGGCAAAGTTAAATTACATATGCTCAGCCTTCTATGCTCCCAAGGTTGATATAAACTGTGGGCCCGTATTGTTGGGGGCAATATGCTGACATTGTGAGTGCTGTAAAGCACTATAGGGCAGTATGTGAGCCTAAGTGTTATTGCTATTATGCTTGCATATGGAAATTTAAGCCAGTTGACATGTTGCTTTTATTAGTCTGTAGAAACTATTTATAGCTTTCCAAAAGATTTTGTTTGGGTGAAGTTTTGATGCTGAATTATTTGGCAGAAAAAGAAAAAGTTGGATTCAAGA